AACTAGTTGTGAGGTTGATAAAAAGAACGACCAATAAAAAGATTAACTTTCTTTGAAAACTTTTCTAACTATACTGCTTTCATTCATCACACGTGAAATTAATAATTCATTTTCTGCGTCATTTGCAATTATAAAAATGGTAAGCCATTGCGCATTCTTTAAAATTTTCATGCTATCACATTCATGTTCTCTTCAATTGACAATCTAATGCACAGGAAAATGTATTACGGCTGGTAATATTTGTTGAAGAAATCCTTTTTAATCACAAGGACTTGGCACAATCTGTAATTCAAAAACAAGTTAATAATGAACAAAGAACTGACACGATTTCTGGAAGTTGTTCTTCTTCGATTGTAACTACATATGGTATTTTTAATGTTCATATGATTTAATCGATAAACTACTCTCCGTATTTATCTAAGTCAGATCTTTATTTTAGAACCTAATCCACCGACATTAAACATATTGAAATTCGAAGATACGGTTATACAAAAATTAGAATCAAATTTTACATCGTTTTCTTCCCAAAAATATGATGATATGGTATTTCAAAGCTCTAGTAATCCATGGGAAGAAGATCGGGTTCTGACTACAATGTACCTAGAAATTATGGATACCATTGATAGGACCGGAAATTGGAGAACGGATATGTCAACAAATTGTGCCGGATTGGTTAGTACCACCAAATACTATTTTTTTTGTTTTTTTGATTTTATGATAAATTTGTTATTTGTAGCTAATATGCATCTTTTTTTAAATTATCTTATCAGAAGGGGGATACTTGTCGCATGGTACTGCGGACTCTGATTGCAGGTATTTCATTACAAGAACGAGAGTTGCGAGAAAAGGCGCTAGACGAACTCATGGGATTTGCAGAGAGGCATGTTAAAATTCCAGATAAAAGTTCGACAGTAGAAAAGAAACATTTAGAAGATTTTTATTGCCATGATAGTGATATCTTTCAACAGCATATTCTCATGATGCTTGGAGAAGTTCATTATGCGTTCACGTGGGTTAATATTTAAATTTTTATAATGTTTTGGCATTTGGATGAAGTCTAATGCATGTTTCTTTTTTTTTTTGAATAATAACCATAGTGCATCACAAATGATGAATGGCGCATATGATCAAAAAATCATGTTCGCATATTATTTTATATTACATAAATGCCGCAACTATTTAGTTAATCTTGGAAACAGTGACCTTTCTTCCGTAGAATTTATTGACTCTATTTGGTCAGGCACGAAATTTAATGATCACGCATTTGTAAAATTTGTCACTTCACGTAATTGGATTATTATGCATGAGCGTCATATAGTGCCCTCCATGAAACATGCAGACGAAAATAATTTTGCCATGGTGCGAAAAATGATGGAAAAGTTTTCAAAGAAAGTTAATCTTTTTATTGGTCGTTCTAAAAAGGGAGAAATAAATTCATCAAAATCTGAAGATGCTTTTGGCATAGAATTGGATACGATTGTTAAATCTTATAGAGAGCAGGAATTAGCGCGATTAACTAGTTGTGAGGTTGATAAAAAGAATGAAGACTTAAGAATTTCACGAAAATGGTTGTCAAGGTTTCATGAATTAACACAAGAACGAGGAGTATGGTCATTAGGAAATCAAGCCGATGTTCATTGGAAATTGGACAGAAGAGAAAATTATTCGAGAATGCGCCGAAAACTGGCTATTAATTACGATTATGATGCACATCGTGAGGCTAGTGCCAAGCGAGATAAAACACCCATCGCAATGCCAGTTAACAAAACGAAAAATTTAAGCATTCAAAGGATCAAAAAGGCTGCCACCCCAGAATGTGGACGAGGAACTACTCCTATATTGGATGCTGTAGAACCTTGGACTGATGCATGGGGTTTTAGTGGGTCGTCTTTGGTTTCAGAATCTGAAAGTTTAGAATCTGACGATCAAGAATGGAATATTGTAGCAGGAGATAATGTTGTTGATACAGTGGACCTTTCTAATGAAACAAAGTTATTTTCAACTGAATGCGAGTTGATTGTTCTATTATCTGCTATCAAAGGTCGAATTGAGCTCACTTCTACACATCTTTCTTTTTTGGTTGATCGACATAATCTATTGCAGGAGCTCAATAATATCGAAAAGGGCTCAATTATTGTTGATAGTGAGATGCTTAGAGATAAAAAATGGTCAATTTCAGATATACGTGAAATACATATGCGAAAATATTTATTAAGGCGAAGTGCTTTTGAACTATTTCTAACTGATCAAACAAATTATTTCTTTAACTTCCCGGAACCAAAGGATCGAACCAGAATATTCTCAAAAATAACCTCACTTCGACCCCCATCAATGCTGAATCAAGATACTCGTTCACCAGTTACGATATTTCAAAGAACGAACTTGACTGAACGTTGGCAAAGACACGAAATATCAAACTTTGAATATCTTATGCACCTTAATGGCATGGCAGGGAGATCTTTTAATGACTTAACACAGTATTTTGTTTTTCCGTGGATTATTAGCGATTACGAGTCTGAGACAATTGACTTGTCCGATCCCAAAGTTTATCGTGATTTATCTAAACCAATTGGTGCATTAAATCCAGCAAGATTACAGCAATTTATTGATCGATATGAATGCTTTGATGATCCATCGGGAAGGATAAAAAAGTTTCATTACGGAACACATTATTCAAGTGCAGCGACTGTAGCATGTTATTTAATTAGGATGGAGCCATACACGTCTGTGCATATTTCTTTGCAAGGAGGAAAATTTGATCATGCTGATCGTCAGTTCTATTCCATTCAAGATACATGGCATTCTGTTAATAATGCAAGTGGAGATGTTAGAGAGTTAATACCTGAATTTTTTTATTTGCCGGAATTTTTGGTAAATCATAATAAATTTGACCTTGGTGTGAGTATTTTTACTTTTTTATTGGAATTGTGTCTAGTTGCATTTACCTTTAACGATCAATTATGGTATTAGGTACGGCAGGATGGTAATAGACTCGATAATGTGGGTCTGCCAAAATGGGCACATTCTCCTGAAGAATTTGTTCGCATTAATCGTGAGGCCTTAGAGTCAGACTATGTGTCTGAGAATTTACACCATTGGATAGGTCAGTATATCATCATTGCCATTATTATTATTATTACTATTCTTGTCATTATTATTGGCTGATTAAACGCTTAATTTAGATCTAATATTTGGCTACAAACAAACTGGAGAAGAAGCAGTCAAAGCATGTAATGTATTCTATTATTTAACATATGAAGGCGCTATAAACATCGACAGCATCCAAGACCCAGTAGAACGCAAAAGTATCGAAGAACAAATATATCATTTCGGACAGACACCAACACAATTAATGACCAAACCACACCCGCCACGATTCCTTAGTAAAGATTTTCTTAGGAAAGATCTATTAAATTCAAATGACAACCAACAAAGATTTGTTGTTGAATTGAAATGTGGAAAGTTACATTTTGTTGATTTGCCAATACCAGATAAAGAAAGTTTTCAAGATGAACAAGCCATAATTACCATTGATGAGAATGGGATTATTGGATACCATCGAGTTATACATAGAAGCATGTCTCCGGATATACCATTTACAGTAGAAGTTGATCCTAATTTGCAGTACAAAACGTAAATATTTTATAATGTTTGATAATAAGAAGTTTAAATTGTTAACGATCTTTATATATTAAATTAGTCGATTGAGTAGCCCATTTAGTTTCGATGCAATTATTACACCAAGATGTTTTACTTGCAGTAAAGATGGAAAGGTTATTCTGAGTTGTGGTCATTGGGATAATACTGTCAAAGTAACTCTTAGTGAAACGGGTAGAACTATTGATTCTATCTACGGACATGATGATATCCTTTTTCTGGTCTTGAACAGATGTTATTGATTATTGTTATTTTATTTTATCTTTGACTTCTAACGCACATATAGTGACAGCTGTGGCTATTAGCGAAGACGGAAGGATAGTTGTTACTGGTTCTCGAAGTTCAAACTTATTATCATGGAGAGTTAATTTAACAGATGATAGCGAATTTCTAAGCATTGGGAATTCCCCTCTTCAAGCATTTTATGGGCATGACGACGAGGTAACATATAAAGTTTCTCTGTGAATTATTGTTGCACTTATGTTCTAACTGATTACATAATCTAGATAACGTGTATTGTCGTTAATGCAGAACATGATATTTTAATAAGCGGATCAAAAGTAACCAAATAAATATTGCATTACATTCGTATTTTAGTTATTATTTATGTGTATCATATTAATTATTTTTTCAATTTTTTCAAGGATGGAACTTGCATTGTTCACTCATTAAAGAATGCAAGTTATATTCGTACACTACGTCCTTTAGAAGGGTTAGATTCTAGTGTCGAATTCGTCTGTATTACTAGAGATGCGAATATAATACTATACACCGAACAATATGCAAGTATATTGATTTATTTATTTCTTTGATAATAACGTTCATATTTTTAATCATAATGTATTGAACACGCATAAATAGGATGAATACTTTTTACATGCATATAGCATAAATGGGAAGTTTTTAAATTATGTTGAAATAAATGAAAGATTAAATCACATTGTTTCGTCACAAGATCATAATTTAATAGTTACTTCAAGTGACAAAGGAAAAATCTGTATTTATGATGGCCTTAGGTAAATTTATCTATTAAATACATTATAGTGTAAATTGAATTAACATAACGCATAAACTGACTGATTCAAAAATTTATTTCGATGTATACAGTCTAGACTTATGTCATGAATTTGAAATACCATTAATTGGTAGATGTATAAAGTTGAGTAATAATAATCGACAAATATGGATTGCTGGAGATGATGGAAAATTATTTATTATTTCACATTTGGGTGCACACGCGGGCAAGAATGCCGTGTAAAAATGTTTTATGTTTCAATTTTGGCATTTATTTCACTACTTGCATGGAATAATAATATTTAAGTGATTGCATCTTTTTTTTTTTTTATTGTAGGCATATATTTTTAAAGCCGTTGTTTCCTATGTATTAAATGAAATCTTTGTAATTTTAACATACAATGTTTTAACTTCCTAAATTTAACATAATTTAGAGATTTTTTAAAGATATGTAAACATTGACAAGTACAATCTGGAAAGTCAAATAAGCAATATTATATAATTAGTTGGCAATACGATTTTAATAAGCTGTCAAATAGAGTTTTTTTTATTACAATTAAAGTAATTATTTGAACTTTATAGAATGTTTAGTAAGTTGTCATATTTAAAGTTTGGATTTATAAATCAATTTAATAACTAATGGCGATAGGACTTGCTAATTTTCCTCTACTTTCTTGTATTTCTTAATGATTGCAAGCGATAATTGCCTGGCCACCTATGCTGAAAACGGAAAATTAGGAGGTGCATGTCCCATCCAATGTCATATTCAAATAAAAAATTCAGGATTGTCCAAATTTGTTCATTGATAAATTCATATAACAAATGCTTTAGTTCTGAACATTTTTTTAAAAAAGTTTGAAAAATAGCAAATTTAATAGTAGAAATCGTCGGAAGTTAATATAGTTTTTTCTATTGGAGTAGAATGCGGCTAGCTTACGGTGAAAAGTTTTTTATACACACCTTCCTTGAGCTTCTAACAAATATTATCGAGCAAGCTATTCCGGTTCTAATAGTGGTAGGATTATTAAAATTGGTTTAGTAGATCGCGAGTTATTAGCATTTCACCTTCATGACTATATGATTTTTAAATATTCCAGAAACTTTCGGCATTCCAACATGATATGAAAATAATAGTAATTCTCCGCCGATTTTCACTATGAAATTTATACTCTTCAACTGCGATCTACTACTTAATATATTTTAATAAAATTTTATGTTTTATGACATCGTGCCCATATGCATTATTTCAAAGTAGAGTTGATTTTCTTAACCTGACTTTTTTAAAATGATGTGTATGTGCACTTGAATAGCGCAACCTAAGCTTCTTTAAACTTTAAATTTAAAAATCCAATATATATATATATATATCGATACATATATATATTACAATTAATTTGTTTGTATGCAGATATAATTGTATATATTGTTTATAGCCTATATTAAATTAGAGCTAAGAATATAATAAAAAGTTATTTTAACATTACTTGTAAAAAAATATAGTTAATAAATATAAAAAAGCTTAATATTATTGGAATATCGTATGTTACCTAATTTTTTCAGGCTAAAGTAAGGTTGTAGTTTCTATTCGGGTCTAATTTTAATATTAAAACATAACCTTTTTCAATTTTTTTGGGACCAAAATCGCAGGGGTGGCTTTTATTCGGTAATATGCGGTATATTTTCTATCTACTTAGTTTAAATTTTATTGTACTGTATTAATAATAATTATATATAAATCTTCTATTCTTTTTTTATACACACTAAAGTAACTTTAAAGTAACATTTTTATTATCTAAGCAGGCATGTTTTATGTATTAAAACGCAATTAATTTACATTAATTTTATATATTTTGTATAAACAATATATAATAAAATACATGGGATCTTTTCTAGGAATCTTTGCTAGTGAAATGACTCTCCGAAGCTATGTTGATTTTGTGAATAAAAATTAAATATGCCAGCCATCTAGTCATCCAATTCGAATGGTTTATTTTGTAGAGCTTATTTAGTTCTACAAAATAAAAAAAGGTTCATTCAAATTGGATAACTAGATAGTTGGCAAATTTAATTTTTATTCACAAAGTCAACATAGCCTAGCAAAGATCCCAAATATGGGGCCCACAGCAAAAGGTGGTGATAGTCCAAAAAAATTGTTTTCTGTAGTTTTTTGATATTATGTTCTAATCTAATTTTTGCAAAAATAAAGTTTTTACAAAATTTTTTTTTTACCTTTTGCTGTGGAACCTCCCATGTATAGTTAGCCCTAAATATAATAAATCTTTATAATGAACTCTAGATATATTTAATTTAAAAATTTTAAATTTAATATTCGCTTAAAAGTTATGCAATCTAGCACATGGCATTACAGCTAGGGATGGGCAACTTGCCAAATTTTCAAATCTATTGCACAGGGTGCGCAGCCTGCACGCCTGAACGATCTTGGGATCCTGTGATTGGATTTGGAAATTTTGGGCTCGCTGGAATCGTCTTGTCGAAAATCAACCAAATCGGATCACTGGATCAAGTAATTTGTTGTTAAAAACCGTGATCCCGAAAATTCCGCTTATAATTTTGCTTACGATTTTTTCTGCCTGCGCAGTGTGCCCATCCTTAGTTATAAAGCACCCACCTAATCAACCAATCAGATCGTAAGATCAGAATCGAAAAAAAGGTGATTTTTTTAAAATCGCTTGTGGATCATAATTTTGCTTATGAAACCATTTTTCGCGTTCTAATAAAAAATTGCAAAA